GGAAATCGTTCAATAACACTTCTTAGCCTTCGAGGATTCTATAAATAGACGGCTTCATTCATCATTCAAGGTACACATAAACCTACTCCTAAAACCCGAGAAAAATATCTGAAGCTCTCTCCCCCCCTTTCTCTAGCCGACGACATTACCCTTGCCACCAACCTCTCCACTCTCCACACGGCTCCGGCCGCCCGGTTCACACCTTTGGCCAACACCCCTGGGTATGGTCTATTTACTCTGGTCTTTTTTACAAGAATCGAGGAAGAGAGAGAAGGAAGATCAAAGGGCAAAAGATCACAAAGCGAATATTCTCCAGTGAGGATTTTTGCACAAACAGCTTATATGTTACTGTTCCAAACTTGTTTTTGGCCAAATTTGATTTTTCCCAAATGTATACCACTTCCTTAGCTAAAAACAAGGGCGGCATTGCCCTCTTTCCCTTTGGAGCCCTAGTACTATTAGATGTAGTGGTTGCAAAAGTCGGATTGTGTAGCAGGGAACTTCTTCACATGTTTATTACTTGGGGGCCAACAATATATAGATTTTTCAATAATTACACAAGTTTAATATAAATATATAAGTTATCTAATATCAATTTTACATGAAATGCCGGAGTTTGGAGAACCACGGCCACTTCTGGCCAAAGTATGGCTCCTAACTAAGTAGTATTGGTATTGTTTGAGCCTGGTTGAAATCTGGTTGCGTCAGGTCTAAAGTCCCGGAAAGAGGGAAACATGTATAGATCACAAATATTGGATCAAAGTTAATTAATCCTCATGCCTTGAGTGTTTATGGCCACTCGAGGAAATATTGACTTGTTGTTGCATCTCTCTCGCTCTCTTCCAAAAACCATAGACAAATTAGAGGAAGGCCTTTATCTTTTGGAGCTACCCTAATTGCGAAAGACACAGAGAATTGGATCCAAAGCTATACCTTGTCACTCCACCCCTTGCTTATACTTTCAAAACTTCTTTTTGGCCAGTATATATGTTAGTAAATTTGATTTCCATCAAATAGTACAATTTTCTTAGATAAAAACAAGGTCGGCCCTGCTCTTTTCCATTTGGAGATATTGGTTTGGCCGTACTATACAACTTGGATTTAGTGGTTGCAAAAGTTGGATCGTGGAGCAGTGAATTTCTTCACACACATAGCCAAAATAATTGCTCACCTCATAGCAGTATCAAACTATCACACTCTACTCTATGTGGGAATGACAGCCTTATTTTCACTGGACGAGATCTTTGGGATATGCAAGAAGTTATTTCGCTTTTTTTTTCCAGTGCAAAAAAACATTACAGATTAACTCTCTTGATGTTTAAAATCAAAAGTATATGTATCAAGTCCATTGGTTTTTCCCTAGAATTTAAGTATTGTAGGATTTTTTTATAATTTAGGCCCCATTTATGTGCTTATACAGGAAACTCTTTTTTGATTTTGGCGATTGCATTACCATATATTTACTTTTTTCCAGTGCAAAAAAAATTACAGATGAACTCTTTGGATGTTTACAGTTTACTGACCAAATGGTGAGTTTGATATGAATATATATATATATATATATATATATAACTCAAGGATGGTGGCTTAGACAAATAAAATATATAGAATTTCACAAATACATGATCTAATCAAAGTTTTAATTACAAATTTACTCTAAGATAAACTCATTGATGGATGAGATATAAGAAGAAGAAAAAAAAAATAGAACATTGCTGCGAGGTGCTAGTGCTACTGTGCTTGTTATATCTCTAATAAATTGGTAAATCAGAATTTCCTTGCAACTGAAATTTAATGCCACAGATGGGCAAGAGTGGATAGAAAAACCACGAATAAATTAATCAAAATTTGCAGAGAAGAGGAGCATGTATGTTCTTTTAATCAAAAGGAGTATATGTATGTTAGCAACAGCTAGAACAAGAAGCTTGTTTGATGATAAAATGACAAGAACAGAATAAGTCTGACCAGAAAGAAAAAAAAATTAAGAACCAGACAGGAACAGAAGTAAAAAAAAACCTTGAATTTGAATATTTTATTATAATTTTTTTACATAATTTGTAGTCTATCCACTTATTGTAGTCAGTCTAGACCTTGCATCATGATTGATATCTACATATATATCTCAAGGAATTAAGAGGAATAATATAATGAAAAATATACGCTAGCTAGCTAGAAATATATACCAGAAGGCTCATATACTGGTACATCTCTTCTTAACCCTAGGACTAAGAGATTCAAAGCAAGAGCGGAAGAAGGACTCTACCTCTTCACGCCCGGTGCTTTCGAAGAAATCGAACACTGCTAATTTCCTCTTGCGCACAAAAGCTTGTCCTTTTTTTCTTGGTGTGGTTGGGCAGCTTTGAATGGTAGGTATCTTGTGATCGCGAGAGGTCGGTGTTCGACAATCATCCGCTTCCTTTCGAATAATTGGTTCACTATTATCATCTTTCTCCTCGAGACCTTGTGGCGGTTGTTGGTGATCATGAAATATTGATAGAATTTGGTGTTGATCTGAAGCTTTAGGATCTTCAGCCATGGAAAGAGGAGTGGAGAGTTTATGGCATGAAATAAAGGAACTAGCTAGTTTGGGGGAAGAGGTTTTGAAAAGGTTGCCATAATTTGTAGAGAGAGGTGGAGAGAATTTGACAATTTGTTGTGTTGTATCTTATCTTCTAAAAGCTATATCTACTCTCTCAATAGCACCTCCTTGGATTGTATTTTTTTCGCCTACATAGGCCCGACACTCTCTCACTCATTTGAAGCTACGAGAGCCTCGTTTTTAGGATATTTCCATATACAACCAAAAATATTGAAACTTCGACTTAAGTATACCTCATCACTTTCACACTCTACTGATATGTATGTAGCCATCACATTTCTACATTAACCCCTATCATATTTGAGACCCATATATCTTGTGTTTAGTACTATCTAGTTATAAACTAATAAAAATTTCTCTTATCTCCAGTTGTGTGGATGTGGATGTGCAGTACTTCCGTTCACTTGATCAATGTTTTGATTTTGTTTTTAGTTTTTAGTTTTTCTTCTTTCAAGTCCTTGATTCCATTTTCGATATCACGTCATGGCATGTGAAATTATTGTTTTAGGTTTTAGAGTTGAACTCCCGAGTCTTGAGAACGAAGTGTTTTAACTATTTTTACCCTATTAATTGCAAAGAAAAGAATTAGTACACAGGGCAAATTTTTTAGGGCCCAGGGCATATGTAAAAAATTAAGTCCGTAGATATATAATATATATTTTTTTTCACTTAAGTGCTAGACTCACTCTCATTTTTCAATCAAGATTTAACTTATTTGAATTAACTAAAATTTAACATTCAAGACAAATAAATTATATAAATTCAAATTTCAATATATAAAAATCTAAAATAAGAGGCTACGCTTGATACATTCAAATATAATGCATAAACAAGATAAATACTTGTAACAATTCAATAATTTCTTTTTCTTTTTTGACTTCCAGATTGTTGTTTTTTCAAGAATCATTGCTACTTGAAATAAAAGTTAGTACAAGGAAATTCAATGAAATTTTAATACTTCAAATAATAATAAATAAAGAATAACATAACTTGGAATTTGAGAAATCCCCCCTCTACAACAACAAACTTAAAACTTCCAAATTTGCAATCAATTAGAGCTTAAAAGAATTGAAACACCCCATGTTACTTTTTTTTTATTTATAAATATTAAAACAATATATAATAAATATAATATACCTCTTTATAAATATAAAATAAAAATATTTTGGGCCCCATTACAGTGGGCCCAGGGCAATTGCACTGACTCCCCCGGTCTAGGGCAGACACTGTTAGTAGATAAAGAGTTAATTGATAATGTTATTGTAAGGTCTCATAACATATAATCATGTCGTCCACTCATATTATAACGAGGGAATTATATAGTAATGTAACCGCCTGACTCAAAAATATATCCCATATACTTGTAGGTGTTTTCTATAGATTTTGTTTCTAAATTATTTCTTACAATATTGAAGCTGGTTTGGGAGGATGTCATGGATATGAATGCAGTATCCTTTTGTCCACAGAGGGGACCCACATCTTCATCTCTATTCAAATTTCATATAATTTCTCTATCAATGTCTCTCCCTCTCCTCTTGTCTGTATGCACACCAACGTGCTTAGCCGCATTGGATACCTTCTTGGACGTTGGACTCTAATTTTCACCTGACGAGGACATAAGGAATATTTCCTCAGCCTCTTACATATCCCACTGAACAAATAATCAACAGTTCCTTTTTCTTAGTTTACCAAACAATTAAAATATATTACAGGTTGGGTTCCATCATACACCCTTCTTAGGTTTTCTGTAGTTCTATAGCCGCAATCGTACAAGCTACATATATATGCTCTAGAGTAGTCAGGCCAGGATACCTCTGAGCAATTTCCCTTTTTGTTCTCAATTCGCAATTTGTTTTCTTTCTTTTTCTGTGAACAAGAATAGTACGATATCATTTATTTACAACATGATAAATGAGAGTTTGGGGTATAATTTATTTTGTGTAAAGTCCAAGGTCTTGTTTGGTTTATGAGAAAGGAGGTTCGGAGATGCTTTCTTATGTTGGGTAAGTCCAGGTATGGGAAATCGTTGTCTTGCACATGGGAAGTAGGGGGAAAGTGAAGCCCTCCTCTCCTCTTGGGTTTTGTTTACCTCATCATGAGAAAATTTAGGAAAATGAGCCGACATTAAATACACATTTTTCATGACCATATTATTCACATTAACAATTTAGAATTACAATATAGCATTGAATGCATTCTTTTTTTATTTGATTTCATATGGGTATAATTGGTAAATTAAACAAACTTTATTTTACATTCATACACAAACCAAACATGTGAAAGAAAAGAAAGTGATATTTCTTGATTACCAAACATGGGAAAGGAATCTTCATTTCCATCTCTTAAGAAATGACATGGGAGGTGATTTCCCCTCAAATCCTTTCCGTGAACCAAACAGGGCCCAATAGTCAACTGACTAACATGGACATGGTAGAATCAATAAAATAAAATATACAATACTTTCTTTTTTTTTTTTTGGAAAAGATTCAATACTTCTTAAGGGTTTTTAAATAGCATTTGACAATAGTGTGCATAAACATTTTTTTTTTAAAACGTGAATACCTAATACCGTTTGGAATTAAAAACCGATACCATATAGTATTTGGCCTAGTTTTGTTATCATGGCTAGAACATTCACAACAAGGATCTCAGTCACATAAAAACATGTGTGCTACAATTCCAGTTACCTTTCCCTTTAATTTAGTAGACTAATGCTCCAATAACTCTAGACGTCCCTAGGATCCCCAACCCTTACTCCATATGGCCATATATATAATTAATCTTTTGCCACATTGTTTATTGTTGACCTCAACATCTTTGCAGCCAACTGAGATTATTATTTTGAATGGAATAATCAAGGGCCTAGATTTGGGAACCAAGTCGTCTTTCTTTGGTGTGAGTGCTCTGCATGGCGTGCCATCTGCCACAATCGTTGACGACCGTGAGAGCGAAGAGAGTGATATAGTGGTGTGCACCTTGGATCTGACTTTGTCAAATAATTTGGGCCAAGTTAGGAATGATTTCTTAGTCGTTGGGTCCTTAGTCTTGGTAACAATGCTACTTGTGTTGCGTCAGGTTGGGTGCTTGAGACTATTGTGCTCAGTGTGGTCGTGCTCAGCTGTCAAATGACTCTTAAGTACTTTTTGAATCAAAATGAAACACAAACTAAAATGAGAGAGAGATGGATCAGATGGTGCTCAAACAAAAAATTTGAAGAATAGAGTTGTTTGTTGATATATAAAATGGACGATTACAATGATCGTGCTCAAGAACTTTGAACAAGCTTCAGAGTTCTTGGTGATATGCTATGTTGAATCCTAGGAAAGCAATAAAATTTATCTATGTCTAGTTTAGGGAATACATTGAACAACATTTCGGCTTGGTTTTTTTTGTTGAGAGATTGGGTGTTTGAAAATGAAAACTGTTCTACTATTTAAAGGCAAAAGTTGTCGTCTTCAGTAGGTGCCGAGACTTGCGGCCACCACCCAAACATTTTGCTTGAAACACCTCTTACCATCACATCATGCCTCGATCAAAGGTATCGATGTACTTTTTGCACATGCCCTCTTTTCGAGTTCTGAGGCTTTTATTATCTGATCAGCTTAAGTTCCGAGAAGTATGTTAGTATGAAAATTGTATTGACATTTCCTAAACTCTAGCATAGGTCGAGAATTAGGATGTGAATATCTTTTACTAGAAGTTTTGGCCAACACATTCAATCCTAGATTTTCAAAGTATGACTTGATCGATATAAGGAACTTTTTTTGAGAAAAGATGGTATTTCATTCAACCGAAAGGAACATTACATGGTAAGAACTAGCAAGTTAACGGTGGCTTCATTAAAACCTTCTTAGAGAAACAAAATCCCGGGGTAAGAAAGAGTACCATCCATACTATTCACTAAATAGAAGAGCCAAACAACTTATACGAAACAAACCAACCTAAACCTCAACCACAAAACCCTTAAAACAACATCTCATCACTACGTAGGTACTGTCAAAGAAGTCCTCCTATGATCTAGAAAAAAAAACATCATAGTTCTTCGTATATAGTCAAAAACGTACTATGGGTATCAAAATAGATCTAGCCAATCACCATACAGCAAAACCATTGAAACACATCCCATCACTACGCATATACTATCAAAGAAAGCCTCATATGATTTAAAGAGAGCATCATAGTTCTTCGTACAGAGTCAAAACATATTGTGAGCATCATAACAGATCCAGCCAAACACCAACCGCCACCTATTCTTAATTCAGATCCCCAATTGACAAGCAAGGGAGACCAAGATTGGCCTCTTAGCATGAAGAAAATTCCGAAGAAAGATCTTCATAGTAGAAACGTTCATCGGTTGCCAAGCCCATGAACGTTCCATAGGAGAATTATTACGGGGATTTTGGAGACCTCTCGAGGCTGGTCTTCTTTGCATTGTCAACAAAATCCTCGATACAAAAACTATGCTTACTAGAAAAATCCATGCGACTAACAATCAAATGCCCAACACTAGTTTTTGCATGCTTTTGATTTTCGCATGGTGTTGCATACTTGTCATCCCTTTGAGCAGAAGAGGCGGGGACCATCTTCATAGCGTTAAGATGGAGACCCCTCACCAGAGACTGGCTCTTTGGAAATCAAGAAAGAAAGCCAACGCAGCCACCCCACAGAGAACAAAAGAGCAAAAAAATGTCATACCCAATTCACCAAGAAGAACCCAAAGAAACAATCAGAGAAGACTGAAAGAGACGGCACAGAGAATGAGTAAAGAAAACTGGAAAAACCCTAACCCTAGCCTAAAGGCTCTCCTCGCGTGAAAGAGAGAACGACCCCTTAATAAGATTGTTTACTTGTATATTATTTTTAGGTAAATCATGACATAATCATGACATACATTGTAGGATTCTAGGTAAATCATGACATAATCATGCATTCATTATAGGATTCCTGACTGGAGTTATTTTCACTCAAGTGCCTTTATGATAGTCCTGTTTTTAATAGGATTAGCTTTGATCTCTTGAAATTATTTTCCTAGTTGAACCTTATTTTGATTTAAATTAAAATATTATCTTTCATCTTTGACTTGGAAGGAACATTGTTCTATTGCTTTCATTGATTCATCTGGATAGATATTGCTTCCTTCTATAACAATTGGTTGTAGTGGAAGTCATCTTTAAGAGTGCATAAGCTGACGAAATTGAACAGGATTCTTAGAGAATCAAATTTAATTAATGGAAAGATATGATCTCTTGACTTTATGCATTTCTCTTGGAAAAAGGAGAACATGATGTGCTTCTTTGTTTGAAGACACAACTATTACATATTTTGTTTGAGCATCTAAAATTCCTAAGAAAACTGTTGTGCTTAACTTTGAGACAAGTCATCATGGGTTTCCTAGGTCTGATTTCAAATTTTGCTTTGGGCTTTGAACACTTTTATCTCTAAACCCAAAAACCTTGGCTCAAATGGGTAAAGTGATTGCTACCATTCTAAGCTGATGTAATGCAAGACAATAAAGGGGTCGATTATATTAGGCTATATTTCTCGCTGTGTCAATTGGCATCAGAGTTTGGTTGTCATTTATGGAATCTGTTTAGCTTGCTCAATGGAAAATCAACTATGACATATTTTCACCCATGATAGATGTGTGAAGAAGCATTTTGGGACACAATGAACGATATGGCTGCATATATATATGGTGTTTTGTTGACATTAGATGCTGAGGAATTTTCTTGAATCAAGACCTCATCAATTTAATATTGAGTATATTCCTCATTTCACAGGACGTTTCTACATAGAAGTTTTATCAACTAGATCTCGGATGTAGACAACTCTTTGAGAATATGGTTCACATTTTAATTGAAGGCTAGTTCAATGGTGGAAGCATATATGATATATAGAGAACCAGACAACAACAATGCATGTCGATAGTCGAGACATAGAGGAAGATGAAGGAACTGTTTTTCTAGAAACATTTAAAACGTTGCCAAATTAATTTTTCCTAGTCAACAACAATGCATGTCATACATTTTTAGGGTCTTGATTGTTTCCTTAAGAACACTTTGGCAGATGTATTCAATAAATTTAGAGGCGAGGATTTGTTTCCTTGTGTTTGGTTCATGCCGCAAATTTTTTTATAAAGATTACTCTATTGTTCCTGCCTTTCACATTTGGATTTCAGATGATTTTCTTGCTATATTTTGTACTCTTTTAAGGTGCTTTAATTTTATAGAATATCTACTTCAATATATATAAAAATAAAAGTCAACTTAAAAAAAATTTGGGTCAATATTTTCATGATGGGCCTTTTTAAACATGAGCTTTTAGTGTTAGCTACGAATTCTATAGTATTTGTTAGGGCCTTCCCACTTTACTGTTGAAATTTTTAAAAAAAAAATTATGTGGGCTTGATCTGATTACTCTTCACGAGGGCTAAGTTCCATATTGTAAGTTGTCAATTTTGGCTAATCAGTGGTTTTGAAGGGGATTGGTATCTTTTTTATTTTATTTTATTTGTTTTTAAATCGTTTGGTTGATATTTTTGCTCAAAATTACAAATTCACCCTTAAAACTAATGGAAAATTCAAAGAAGGTCCAAAAAAAAATTTGACGCCTTACATATTGGCTAATTTTTATATATTTTACAGCGCCAATTAAGAACAGAAAAATTATTTGATTTAAAAAAAAAGGGACAGAAAAATTATGAGGGAAAATTAATATTATTGTAATAGTTTATGGGGCAAAGTAACAATTTACTAATTTCCAAGATTGAATTGTATTGTTCCAGCAATAAAAATCATAACTATTCCAATTGGTATTAATAATACTAGCCTCTCCGCATGCTCTTTCGCGTATGTGAGAGGTTTTTTTTATATTTTATTTTATTTATATTTTTAATTTAAATTTATTTTAGAATTAAAAAAGATAATGGGTAGTTGTGTTCTACAAAAATAGGATTCATTATCTAATTTTTCTTTTAATTTTAATTTTTTTAATATAAAAAAGTGTGAATTTACAATATTATCCTCATTTAATTAATAATTTTAATTCTTAATGTTTGGATTAACCAATGGTATTTTCTGGTATTTTGAATGTTTTACCATTCTCTGCCTTTTACTTTATATATATAGATATAACATGTATTTTCAACCACTTGTGATGAAATACCACGTATTACATACATTATTGGCAAAAAAACAAAGTATTACATACAATGCATTGAATTTTTTTTTAAAAAAATAAAATAAAATTATGACATGTATTTTTTTTATCTGACCACAAAAATAAAATAAATAAAAAATTTTATAAAAAAAGAAAAGAAAAAAAGCTGACCTGTTGTTTCTTTATACATATAAAACGGTTCATGTGTATCTGGAAGCCATTTACACCTTGCATGTTTCAAATATTAATGCAGCATTATTGCACCCAAAAGCCAACCCAAGCCCAATTTAAAAGTGCTTAAACCCAACTTTAATTCCTTTTTAAACCCCATAAAGACAGCTTCCCCATGTTTAGGACACATGGAGCCTGTGAGGAATGAGCTGGCTAAGCAAGTTCTAGGAAACACTAATTATGTAATTAGGGCCCTAAAGGTGCCCTATGAGGTATGCCTTTCCTTCTCCTTGAATTTGAATTTGAATGATGAGGTGGAGGTGGAGTTGGAGTGTTTTGGTACATGTCTTGTTGCATTCCTTGAGGCAATTGATCTTCTAACTCTTTTGATGGCAATCTTATTTCTATTCCTTCCCTTCTTCCCTCCTCTTCTGCTTTCTTTGCGCTCAAGATAAAGCTTGCTTCCCCATTCTTCTTTAGTCCCACAAGCTAATGTTTAAAGAATGAGATATTGGATTAATTGCTAAGATATTACCATTTAATGATGAGTCAGCATCATCAACTAAATTACAAAATATACCAACATTGTGATTTTGATTTAACAACATGAATTAATTTTCGTTCATGAGATTTGAACATGGGAGATGGAGATTGAATGCGAACCAAATAGTTGTGGATCGGCACATGCTGCCAACATTGTGATTTTGATGCACATTTTAATCACAATTAATTCCCACACAAAATTAAATCAGAAAACTAAAGAGATTGAGATCTAACCTTGCATCCCAATGAACAAAAACGCAAGGGGTCCAAGAGACTTCTAGTACATACTTCACAAATATGTGAGCTCCCTTTAACGGCATTTTTAGGCTGAGGCCTCTCATTCAAAAACAGTACTCTCGCACTGTTTATCACATAAGTCTGAACTCCATTGATGTCTAGGACCTTCTGAATCTCAGACACCCTAACAACATCATGATACGACGACCGCCTGATCTGCATTGCAATTTTCACACCCCATAAGGAAAAAAAAATTCACACAAAATTAATTACACAAAAAGAAAAAGAAAAAGGAAATCTGGTGGAATTAATTACCTGAATTACTTGGTGATCTTTGTGCCTTGATGATCTGCAGTAAAAGCAAAATGCGCCATTGTTGCAATCTAAGCAGTACATGTTGCATTCGCTTCGGGGGGCATCTTTGTGTGATGGGCAGATGGAGAAGAAGGCTGTTGATAGCAATGATTCAAGCCATGGAGGAACCAACATGGCCGCCTGTTTGGGAGGCAAGAAAATCGAAATGGCGTGAGCCGAGAAAATAATCAAGAGAACAATTCTAGGCAGATTTAGCCTTCACTGCCGCAATAACGTTACAAAATATATGAGACTGAGAGAGAAAGAAAGAAAACAAAAAATGGTACAAAAGAATTTGAAAGAGTAACATAAGCTTTATCAGCAGAATGAAAAAGGACAAAACTAGACATACCATTTGTTAAGGCTTAGCTTGCTTTGCTTTCTCTTGTTTAATGCTTGGATTGAGTCATATCTTGATCATGAGACCAAAGTGGCACGCAGAAAAGGACAAGGTAGCTGTAACGAACGGTTGAGATGAGAGGATGGGGGGTTTGGACCGTTGGATTGAGAGAGAGAGAGAGAGAGAGAGGCGGGTTCGTATTATTGTATTAATTGGGGGTTACGGAAACACTTTTGATTGTCTTAAGTTGCGTCTCTTTGGAGAAGCCCAGAGTCAGCAGGAAAGCACCAAGAAGAGGTTTGCAAGGTTGCGTTTGGGCGGGGAAGAAGGCTTTTCCAATTTATGAAAGGAAAAGTGGAAACTACGACAAACCTACATGAATTCCACGTGCAATTAGGAACCAAGTGGCTTTCAGGTTTTCCAATCAGACCAATGCTTTTTTTCTTTCTTTCTTTAATTTTTGCTTTGTGATTAGATATGTCATATCATAATCATATTGTCAACCAATTATATCATGTGGGAATTTATTTTTTTGTCCACCCAGAATATTATTTGTTTTGATCCGGACTACTCAGGACCCAGAATATATGGATCGAATTAATAAAAAAAGAATTAGTATATTATTTCTTTTTTGTCTTTAGCTATAGAAAAATATTTATGGAATTGATTCTTGTATGATAGTCCAATTTATACATAAGAAATTTCAAAAATAAATAAAAAAAGCTTTTGGGAGAGTGATCGAAACAAAATTATAGACAGTATATGACTTTAAACTCTTGTATCCGAAACATAATTGATGAGTGCATTGTGCGAGCCTCTGGATTTTCTTTAGCGTCCGGACCTTCAGTTTCTCCTTTTGTTATATGTTTTCAAATTAAGTTCTACACTGCTATATCATAATATCCAATTGGTGACGAAGGCCCCGTTTGTGATTTGCTTTTTTTGGCCGAAAACTAGTGGCCAATTAGTGACTACGGTCCCGTTTAAAAGCTGTTGTCAAAAGGTCACTGTTAAAGTTAAGCAGTTTAAGGTGTTTGGTAAAAATAAAATATCCCAATTATTTTAAAAGCAGTGATCTTTTGACAGCAGCTTTTAAAGCAGACTTTGAGTTGCTTTTCAAAGCTACTTTCAAAAGAAGCAGAGATGAACCTTTAATGAATTTTTTTAATTTCCAAAATACCATCATTCATTTTAAAAAATGACACCACCTCCACTTCCACATCCAACTCCACCACTTGCACCACCACCGCCACCGCCACCACCACCTCCACCTCCTCCACCTTCACTGCCACCGCCACCTTCACCTCCACCTCCACCACTACGTCCTCCACCTTCACCTCCACCACTACGTCCTCCACCTTCACCTCCACCTCCACCACCACCACCACAACCACCACCTCCTCCAAAACCTCCACATCCACCACTACCTCCACAACCAACACCACCACCATGGTGCTACCTCCACCACCACCAATACCACTACCACCAACTCCACCTTCATCACCACCACCACCTCCACTCCATCACTACCACTACTACCACATGATTAGTACATAACACTTTTAACATCATGTCTACTTTAGTCATTATTCACAGTTACAACAATTTTATATTAAAATTTACCAAACAGTTTTGACACTGTTTTTTGTACTAACAACACTTTAAAATATTGTTTACTAAACATGGAATTGCTTTACTTTACAACCAATTATTTTCAAAGCACAGCAGAAGCAACTTTTTTAAAAGAGACAGTAATCCCAAACTGGGCCTAAGAAGTATACATCTTGAAATCACTTTTTATAATGTTTTATTTTTGTTGTAGTTCAAATTTGGAGACAACTTAAAAGGATGTAAAGTAGTTGTGTCTTCGGTAGGGTTGAAGGGTAAGACCTTCAACAATAGGGCATGACCTGAAAAAGGAAGAGGAAGAAGCAATTGTTAAGATCTTGGCACTGATATTGTACCGGTCAAAGGCTTTTCGATGCTTAAGTCAGCTAAGTAGGAAATTACCAATAATTTTAGCAGAGTAACAGTAATGTCCAGGATTAATTACCTTTCATTTTGAGAGCTTGTGCCCTTTTACAGACAAAAGAGTGAGGGATGTTGGCATAACAATCCGGCGTCTTATCGGAGTAGGGTATTCCTTTTGCAATGCGTTAATCTGTTTCATGCTAATTGCTTCTATGACATGATTTAGTTTCAAAATACATATACTTGATGAGTGGGAGCATTCAATGATTTTCTTTGTTGCATGTATTCAGTTTTTCTGATTAATCACCTAACAATCCGGTTTTGCTGAGGCTTAATAAGAACAAAGATTGTTTTGGGTATGTTAACTGTTCTTATTAATTCATGTTGTTTTGTTCAAGTCGATAATGGTTAATCAATGACTTTTACCTTTCATTGAATTTGTAATTGCTAATAAGCTTTTGGCTTTTGTTTCATATTTGTAAAGGATAAGGTAAAATAAAGAAGAAAAATAGCATTGGTTCATTGATTCACTGAATAAGGTTATTCTCAAAAAGTTTTATTAGGAGTCTTGTTACAATTATAGCTATGCCATTCAGTTTTGATATGCAAAATCAGTGGGAGTTGTTCTATTCCACTAATTTCATTGTTTTCTTGGAGACTGTTGAATTATTTTGTTTATTGTTGTTTGGTTAAATTCTTTTAATAAATTATGTAACTTTAGTTTTATGTTTATTATTCTTGACAAATGAATCTAAATGCATGTCATCATGCAGTATAGCTAGCTACATAAGACATGAATTCATGGCAGCGTCATCATCAAGGAGAGATCTTGGCAATCTCTTAAGGAAGGGCTTAAGAATGACATGACATCTGCATAACACTTTCAGTTTGTCATGGTCATTCTGTTGTTTCAATCTTCATGGAAGCCTTATGTGATTTTGGTGTAATTATAAAGACCTTGAAGTATTGGATATTCCATCAATCTTGATAGTTCCTTATCATTCTTCATTATTAGCAGTGGCTTGGAGGGAATTTTGGTTTAGTTGCTCCACAAGGCCTTAAAGTGATGATTACAAGTTCTTGTAGTGATTAGTCGACCAAGTGGGAGATTGTAAGACTATTTCTTGTCTTACACGTCAAGTATGGTCTCCTAATTACTCTAGGGTTCTTGAGACTTGTATTAATCAGGAAATTAACTAATAGCATAGCCAATCAGATAGCCTTGCAGACGTGTAGTACAAGTTAAACCAGGCTTGTGATACTTCCCTATTCTATATGGATTGAAATAACTTAACCTAACCTAATATAATAAGGATTGTTAGAGAGTTTTTTTTATGGGAAAAACTTCTAGGCAAAAATGCATATGAATACAAGTGTCCATGCTCAACCGATCAATGACCGACACTAAAGTATTCGCCCCATCTAAAATGAGTGTGAGGAATTAGATTAAGGAGAAGTGCTCTTGTATGTTCTTGATATTTCAACAACTCTAACGGAAGACCAAAAAGTACATGTTCTACTATTGTGCAGCCAATATAGTTTACATGTTATGCTTGCTGAGGTGGATTGTTGCCCCATTACCGACTCCCAGTATGCTTTGGTGTTTGAGGGCCAAGGAACATCATAAAGCCTGCTTTATATATTTTTGGGAAAAAGATCAAAAAAATATACTGGGCTTGAGCCATCCTTTGAGGCTAGGTTTGGGCCCCCATGAAAGTCTCCAAAGCAAGCCCACATATGATTAAAACGAATTTAAGTCAAATATTTCAGCTAACCACTAAACAACACCTGTGCTGGCACAACCTGGAAAGTGGAGGGCATTTTCACATATATATATATATATATACATAACTCTATGATGTTAGAGATAATCTGATAAACATTATTTTTGGATGTTGGCAATGTTGCCTAGAGACTCATCATATTTCACTTCACATTATCTGTACCCTACGTGGACAGCTTACTCGACAGAGTGCACAAGGGCTCAAGTAGGACCATGGGTTTGTTTGAACACCAATATAAACATCCATAGTTTAGAAATTTAATTATGTCAATAATTAGCATCTTCTCTGTCATTTATTTATTTATTATTATATTCCTTCCCACTTCAGGGAAATCCTCCAAGGAAAACACCAATCCTCATTTGGGAAATGATTGCATTACGGTTATATATAGATTCTCTTTTTGTACAACATACATGTGAATATCACCACATAATAATGAATTCTACGTCTTTATAGTAAAAGAAACATTACATATATAACCAATACATACAATAATTTTATAGCATGTGACACGACAGGTAAAACGTATGGACAATAAAAATGCTTAAAATGCTCAACTGTTTTGCTTAAACCAGTTGGTTTTCCAAATTGACACCCTCATAACTCTTATGAGTGGGTATAAAATTTCCCCCTAAGTCACCGAAATTTTGTTCGCTTCTCCCTTTATATTTCTAGAGTGCTGCTATTTCCACCCACCTGTCATATTTTTCCACCCACTTTATCTTCAAAATTTTAAAGACAAATTTACCCCTTTGTCATATGACAAATTCGCAGTGTATAATATTAACCATATCAAGCGCAGAAAATGAAAGAAGGCCATAAAGTTGGGGTTGAGCCCAACAAGCCAATGCAAAGGCACAATGAATATGATGGCTAGGATAAGCAGCAAATGAGGAGTGGGGTGGTGGGCAGTGACGGATCCAGGACTGTTACCCTATGAGGTCATAATGTTAAAGTTCCGATTTTCTTTTTAAAATGAAATAATGCAAAAATAATATAATTTAAAAACACACCAAACTTATTCCAACTAACAAAAACATCATTCAATAAATCAAGCTCATATATGTATTATGTAAGCCATAAATTTCATCAAAATAATAACACCAACCTAAATAATAAATAAACTCACCCAAAAATAACCCAAATAATAAAATATCTTGAATATTAAAAAAAAACAAAAAACACAATGAGTGTTGAACCATTAACCTTAAGGTCCATTTCTATTCAAAGACCACTATGGTAAGTGATGTATTTATGCTATTCATCTATACTTTTAGTATTTATGTCTACTCAACAAAATTAAAATAATATTTAAAAAAAGGAAGTTTCACTAAAACACCCAAAATGGGGGTTGAAATTATAAAAAAAAACCCAAGCACTATTTAAACATATAAACACACCCAAAACCCATCATTACACACACTCAAAACTCATTTATAAACACACCCAAAAAGTTGACTTTGTGGTTGATTTTGGGTGTGTTTCTATGTTTAAATAGTGCTTGGGTTTTTTTATAAATACATGTCTAGGATTGGGTTTATTTATAAATTTGTATATAAAAAAAACCCTATCAAATATCTTCCTTTTAAAAAAAAATTATGTCGGCGCATCTTCTCTCTCCCTCTCATCTTCTATCCCCCCCCACCCCCCCCCCCCCTTCTCTTTTCTTCTCCCTCAGTCTTCTTCTTTTTCCTCCCCCTCTTTGTCTTCTTCGTCTCCCTCTCAACCACTGTCTTCTTCTTCCTCCCCCCCCCTCTCTCTCTCTCTCTCTCTCTCTCTCTCTCTCTCTCTTCTTCCTTCCTATTTCTTCTCCCTAGCAGCTTGCATCTTCTTTTCCATGAGGTCGTCTCCCATGGTTGCCAAGAGAAACCAAGAACCTCCAAGCCATTTCCAGGGCTGCCATAGGGTCGTCTGACCCCATTGACCCCATGGTGGATCCACCACTAGTGGTGGGGTGGGAAAATCAAATTGGTGGCAAGGGTGGGAGGTGAGGGTGGCTACGGATAGGAGGAAAGGTAGTTGTCGATGTGATGGTCATGGTGTTGACTGTTGGGTTTTCATCAGAGAAAGGGGTTGGGGGTGGTGGGTGACTTGGGCGGCCCCGAGGAGGGGGGGCCGGGGGTGGTGGAATATAATATATATATATATATTTGTAATAACAAATATGGAAATACAATTAAAGGGTTTTAAGAATAATGGCAGATGGAAAGATAGGTTTGTGAATTTTCAAATTTACATGTTGGGTGGGAAGATAAGGTGGGTGGAAAAATAGGACAATGGGGTGGAAATAGCATCACTCTATTTCTATTGAGGGCAACTTGAAATTCCACGATAGTTTCATTTACCTAAAGGAGTAGTCTGAAAGGTCCATGTGCCTTAGCCAAATTTCTGTGGTTGTTGCACTAGTGATGTTTCACCATACAATTTTCTTGAGTGGAAACTAGCTGTGATTATAAAGGGGAATGCTAGCAACCTTCTCTTTTGGACCTTCTCTCTTTTTCTTATGACATGTGTCACTCTTTTTACACTTAAAACAACATCATTAATGTATCTTACAAACTATCTTTTGTTTTCCAAATTTACCCTTATTAAATGTATCAAAATTTATGTTTCCTTTAATTTATCCAAAAAAGTTTAATAACTTTCTTATCACCTTATTTAATAAAAAGAAAACTTGAAAGAATATTTTTTTTTTTTTTTTTTTTAAAGAGTAATAAAGCCCATAATTTTGTTGCACACAACAATGTTGAAAAAAAAAACGTCACTTCAAAACCACAACCAAGTAAACAGGAAAAAAACTGATGTTTTTTCTTACTTAATTTTTTAATAAGGTGGTAAGGAAGTTATGAAGAATTTTTTTTTTGGATAAGTTGAAAGAAACATGAAAGTCAATACATATAACAAGGGTAAATTTGGAAAACAAAAGATAGTTTATATGATGTATTAATGACATAATTTTAAATGCAAGGAGAGTGACACATGTCATGAGAAAAAATGAAAATGTCTAAAAGAGAAGGTTAGAGAGAAGGTTGTTAGCATTCCCCGATCATAAAACCTGCCGAGGCATGTGAGTGTGCTTCTCATACATAAATTTGGTTCAACATGATGTACATTGTAAATTCCAATAAATGAGCTAGCTGTTGTTGGATATGCATATGCAGCATTGTAAATTCCAATAAATGAGCTAGCTGTTGTTGGATATGCATATGCAGCCCTTATGGATTTTTAAATTGTTTTTAAAAACAATTGTCCTGAACCTTATGGTTATTTTTCCCTTTATTTAGTTCAATTTGTCAAGAACATTGAGCTGACACGTTTCCAAGGAAAATAGATGTCAGTTTGATTGAGACTTCCTATTTTAAACATGTCAACCATCTTACAGTTTGCAGCTACAAGCCAAATTAATTGTTTTATACTGTTGGCAATAAGTCATTTGCAACCTTGGGGAAGCTGTTCTATTGTTGGGTAAAATGTGCAACAAGTGCAAGCTTTGCCAAGGGCCGTCCCATGGATTTCAACGTCAACTTCTGCCCTATATGGTAATATTATTCAACCTAAGAAGAAGGGCAGTATAACACGAAATGTTAGGGAAGTATATTATTCAACCTAAGAACAATTTCTGCACACATAGCAGGAATACAAGAACTCCTATTTACATAAGAAGAAGGGAAGTATAACACGAAATGTTAATGTCTACAATCTTCTTTTAAATGGATTTGTGGCCCCACGATGAATTTAGATATAATTGCAATATCTTTCTTCACTAAGAAACAAAACCAAAACTGCCTTCATGCAATATCTATAACAGTTCCTCCGTTTTCTTTCTTCTCTTTTTTCTTCTTTTATACAACAAAAAAAGAAAAAGAGAAAGAAAAAAAAAGACGAAGCTAATAATATCTTATTTTATGCATAATTTCTGACATGTAACGGGCGAGTCACATTTTCTTTTGGTGGTGTGCATGTAATGTGATTTTGGAAAACTCCTCATCATTTATATTTGCATCTTCCTCCTACATTTGAAGACAAAATCGTCTGACATATTCATTGGATAAGATCACGATAAAATAGAAATAGTATAAATTAACGACTATATATTGAGATTTATATAATTTCTAGCAAAATGGCCTCAATATAAATATGTGAAATATTCAAATATATATATCCAAATTTGTATAGGCAGGGGTGGAGCTAGACTTCAAGAGGAGGAGGGGCCCTGCACTGTAAAGGAAGCATGATTTCTCTTCCAGAAAAAGAGGCATAATAGGCGAGAAAATAAGGGGAAAGAACTTGGGAGGGAAATCATGGTCCTTAATTAGGTGGCCTTCCCTCTAGTCATGGGCCAAAAATTGTTGTTTATACCGTGTTTATTGACTATTTACAGGTCCGGTAAGGATTTAGTCCTAATAGTTTCCTCATTAACTACAGAATGTTGAAAGAAAATGTTTCTAAGTGTTGAATTGATCAATGATAGTCATTACGACATAACTTTCCGATATTTTGAAAAATGTCTTAAGTTCGATTTTTCCCTTTGCATTGAAAATAAAAAAAGGATAACGATACTGAATTATCATCTTATAAACAGAAGAGAGGTTATGCAAAGAGGTCCCTCCTCCACTACAACTTTCTTCGTTTGAGATACAAAGTATTTTTATTATATTAGCAACTAGCTATTGCACTCCAAGTCAAAAGTTACCTTCCGGGTTCAACTTGGACCAAAATCAAGAAAGAGACCGTTTACGTTATGGAAGATCAAATCCGGTTATAGCATTCTCAAGGTTGGGTCATTATCAGGTGCTCTATAAATAGTAAGATTAAGCTCATCAAAATGACTCACCTAACCAAAAATAATTTCAGTGTGTTCATGATTTTGTAATAGCATTTTTTGTAGTGACTAGTGAGTGATTCTCTCGGTTTCGAAGTTTTGTCAAATTTTTATTTAAGCTTTCTAGATCAAGAGATCTTAAAGTTCTTAGTCAATTTAACCCATGGAAAGAGCCTGCACCAAGTTTTTCAAGTTTGGTAGTGGAACGGAACGGGTAAGATTAGATAAGAATGTTGAGCCTACAGATTTTGAGGGCTTGACAGATATTGAGCAAAAGAGTGTAACGTTTTTCATATTGTAATTGAGAAGACACGTATATTCCCTTTTAAGCAATCATGTAAAAAGTGTTGGGCTTCAATGGTTAAGATTTTTTTTTTAGCACAAGCGATAGTCTAAACTAGAGGAGATGGGGTTTCTCACACACACAACTGATGTCATGGGGTTCAAACTTGAGACATTCGTTTTGCAAGTCAATGTCATTTTCCACTGGATTAGACCCCGTTGGCTCAATAGCTAAGATCTGAATTTTGGTGAAAGGAGAGGAAATGGAGGACAGAAAAACGAGTGAATCCTCCTCCATGATTAATATTCTACTACATAACAAACACATGTATAGTATATCCATGCATATTTTGTTTATTTTGTTTATTTATTTTATGATAAGGAAAGAAAGAGTACTGCTAAACGAACCCTAAAATTAACTGAGTACACCCTATGATATAAGTACACCCTAATATTTTAATCAAAATATGAAATTAACTAAGTACACCCTATTTAACTACCAAAAATACTCATGGTACACCCTAATACACTTTATCACAAACACCAAACCCACCTTGCTGCCAAACTTGCTGCTTAACCCACCAAAGCCACCGAGGTTGATTCTGTCAAACAACTGTGGAAGAACAGGCAGGAGCCGCGAGTGGAGGATGCCGGGATTGCTGTCCTGTTTGGTTTGGAATGCTTTGCCTGGTTTTGTGCTGGTGAGATTGTAGGTCAAGGATTTACATGTTAATGGTTACCATGTCTAGGTTATGGGCTTGGTCTAATTAGTTGATTTTGTTTTAGCTTCCTTGTTATAAGAGAGATGAAACTCAAAAGATCGAATTTATTAACCCATCAACTAGAGGGAAGATATATAAGTTAAGACTAGTAAAATATTGCATCTGCCAAATCCATTATAAACGAAGGAGTATAGCCAAGGGCGGCACTCGGCCCCAATTCTCAATGCCTTGGGTTTATACCATGAGTTTATAGCCATTGACTTAATATAGCCTTCACATAGTTTATAATAGAAACAGGCATCCTTGATAAGTAGGCATCCTTCCTGCAAGATTGAATATTAGTTTTTAAAACGAGAAGCAAAAGGAAAAAACCATTCCTTAATGTGGCTAGAGAGGAGAGGAGAGGAGAGGATTGATGAGAGCGATTTTGTAAGCTCAGTAAATATCATATCATCTTACCTTGATTTTAAGATTCATTTTCAAGCATTTAGACAGGGAATGTTGAATATAGTGTACTTGTTTCACAATTCAATATATCATTTTTAGTCATTTTATATTAGGGTAAATTAGTAATTCAATAAATATTTTGGTAGTAGGGTGTACTTGGTTAATTTTAGCATTCGTTTAGCAGCACTTAAAAGAAATCTACAATTTGATTTTATTATTAGTTGACCGCTTCCAAATCAATTTTGAAACTAAAATAATGATATAAACAATACGTTACTCAGCAAATACTGTTGTTTCCTTTGTTATTTCTGTTGCACACAGAGACAAAGTAAGCTTCACTTTCATAATCCTCCGTCTGTGCATATATAAACCTCCTCCTTTTTACTTCATGTTAAACATTTGCGGCTGGAGAAGCTGGTGTCCAGTCTTTGCTCTCAGAATGGAGAAGCGCAGTCTAACTCTTGTTCTCTCTCTTCTCCTTTTCATACCACTTTTCCATGGAGGCACAACAGAAGCTGCAGGAACCCTAGATGGATCAGAAGAGTGGGGTTATGTTGAAGTCAGACCAAGTAAGCAATTCAGGCATAGAAAAATTTCTTCTTTTTTTGTGTTTTGGCAGAAATGTGAGTGTTCATGGATTTCTTGGTTCTTTTTTCACACAGAAGCCCACATGTTCTGGTGGCTTTACAGAAGTCCTAACAGAGTAGAAGATCCCTCCAAGCCATGGCCAATCATTCTCTGGCTTCAGGGTGGACCTGTGAGTACATATACTTATCAAATGATACTAAAATCAAAGAATGAGAAAAACCCAGAAATTTTGTACCATTTTTTTTGTAGTCTTATAGAAATATTTAATCTTGCTCTTTGAACAAAAACTAGGGAGCTTCAGGAGTTGGGATTGGGAATTTTGAAGAGATTGGGCCATTGGACGCCAATTTGAACCCAAGAAACTCAACATGGTTGCAGAAAGCAGATCTTTTGTTTGTTGTAAGTCAGCCAAAAAAACTTCAAACTCTGTTTTCTGTTTTTTTTCTTTTTCTTTTTTGGGAGGGGACCAACCAGATTTCAATTACATGAATTTCCATTTCTTTTGTTCTTTTGGCATTATTTAGGACAACCCAGTTGGAGCTGGATTCAGTTTTGTGGAGGACAAATCTCTGTTTGTGAAAAATGATTTGGAGGCAGCCACTGACTTGACCACATTGTTGGAGGAGATATTCAACAGAAATGAGAGCCTCCAAAAGAGTCCTCTGTTTATTGTGGCAGAGTCTTATGGAGGAAAATTTGCAGTCACTCTTGGACTTTCAGCTCTCAAAGCCATTGAAGCAGGAAAACTAAAACTCAGACTTGGAGGTAATTATAATTAACCAATTCTTGGTCTAATTAAAAATACCAGGTTCCAAAAACATGTAATTCTGAATTATTATTATTATTATTTTTTTTGGTTCTGTTTGTAGGAGTGGCATTAGGAGACAGTTGGATCTCCCCGGAAGATTTTGTGGTACGTTTTTACAGTTCAACTGCTTTGACCCAATAATTTAATTTCTGCATTATGAAGATTTGCACTGTTTAATTTCCAAATTTTTTTATTCTGGGTAATTAAATTAATTATGATTAGTACGATTTTATGCATTTTGCAGCTTTCATGGGGTACTCTGCTCAAAGACGTCTCAAGGCTTGATGACAATGGGTTGAAGGAAGCAAACAGGTCTATTAATTTTTGTCACATTTTGCACTACACGCATAATAATTGGTACGAGAAGATTATGGATTTAAGAGATTTTCAGAAGTCTAAAATCCCCTTTTTAATGATACAGTGTGGCTCAAAGGATTAAGCAGCAGATTCAGAATGGTCAACTTGTGGAGGCAACCAATTCATGGAGTGAACTTGAGCAAATCATTTCCTCTTACAGCAATTTTGTGGTATATAATATATATATTGGTTATTTTTCATATTATTATATATTTTTAAATATAAGCGGTAGTCTAAACTAGAAGGGGGAGTAGAGGAACGAGAATTTCTCACACACACACTACCAAGATATTATGGGGGTTTGACCTAAGATCATTGGTGTACAAGTTAGGACGCAAGACCCCACTGGCATTAATTTAGTAAATATTTGTGACTTCAATTTAATTACAATTAACATTTTGTGATTATTTTTTTCTTTTGGCTTTGGGGTATTTGCAGGACTTCTATAATTTTATGCTGGATTCAGGAATGGATCCAGTTTCATCCTTGGCAACCATTGAAGTATCAAAAGGAATTGCCCTTAAGAAATATTCAAGATATCTCAGTTCCTTGAGGTCTTCATCATCAGCAGGTGGTGGTGATGGTGATGGTGATCTTGATACTTTGTTAAACGGGGTCATTAAAAAGAAGCTTAAGATAATCCCAGATAATGTGATGTGAGTATATTCGACCCCTTTTTTAATTTTTTTGGTACCCATTTTAGTTTTCAGTCTTCAAAAAATTTATAACTTTATTTGAAAATGATGCATATTTTGTGTGTGTACAGATGGGGAGGGCAGTCCGACTATGTCTTCGCAGCAATGGCAGGGGATTTTATGAAACCAAGGATTAATGAGGTACTGATTTTGCCGGTCCAAAAAAGCAAAATTATTGTACATATAGCTTATATTATAAATAATTTATCTCTCGCAATATAAACGTGTTTTACGCGGTGAAATGATGTGAACTTCACCGCGTGTTGTGAGACACTGTTGATTATATATAACTGACGCATATACAAATTCATCCCATAATTTTGTAGATGGTATATTTACACGTTAGGAAATTAAATTTTTATTATCAAATTTTTATAAGTATTAGATTTCGGTTGTTAGAAAGTCATTTTCTTGTTACTGAAAAAAAGGAAAAGTCAACCAAGGTGGTTGGTGTGAGTGGTTCGGCACTCTCATTCCTTGAGAGAAGGTCAGGGGTTCGATCCCTACTCTCGTATGGAGTCACCACTTTGGCCAGCACTTTATCTGTTACGGGCTGATCCGGTGTGAGCGGAGATTAGTCTGGATTGTGGTTAAGACTTAAAGGTGTCACCCATAATTGGGGCCCATCCAGGACCACCTTGTGGTTCAGACCAAAAAAAAAGAAAAAGGAAAAGTCATTTCCTTGGCAAATTCAGCCCCAACAAGGGAGTATAAGATTCTGATTTCCTTTTCATCACTTTTGTCTTCTAGGCATTCGATGGAGAAATAGAAGTTTTTTATTTCCTTCTAATTTTTTTCCCTAATTCCGAGGACCTTTTCTGCAAAAAAAAAATAATAATAAATTTGTCTTCACTTTACGATATTTCTTATTTTGAGTCGACTTTTAATTTTTATTTTGTGGCTTGGACAGGTTGATGAACTCCTTGCTAAAGGGGTCAATGTGACAATATACAATGGGCAAGTAAGATTTCTCCAATCCTTTTTAAGATTACTTTCTTTTTATACAGCAATAGGCAATAGAAAATGGATGGATCCCTTATGGAATACTCTACCTTATGTATAATCTTTGAGGTTACTATCTAAACTAAAAATAATAACGCCGTTGATTAAGATACTGATTAATGTACATCTCACAATAGTAAAATATTTATGCAATACGTATCGTGAACGTTTGTCCTAAGGACCTCTATGTACCCATAAGAAATGCTTTCAACAATTTTACACCAGCTATTTATTTAATTATAGTAGGAATTGGCAATTGGGTATAATTTGTAAGGACATAATTTGGTTGGTAAATGTTGTAGGTTGATGTCATATGTGCAACCAAGGGGGCTGAAGCATGGATAAGTAAAAACCTCTCTCTCTCTCTCTCTCTCTCTCTCTCTCTCTCTCATGTTGGTTTATTTGTGTGTTAAATTGATTTTCCATTTGCCTTTTCAGATGGGAAGGACTTCGAAATTATTTGAGGAAGGATAGAAGCCCTCTCTCCTGTGGCAATGATAGACTCACCAGAGGGTTCACTAAGTCTTACAAAAACCTGCACTTCTATTGGATTCTTGGAGCAGGACACTTTGTAAGTGAAAACTATCCACCAGCGCATAAAAATAACTTTTTCTCTGTCTTATCAGTGTCATGTCTTATCATCGATACCTATTATGAACATCATCGCATCGTACTCAGACTTGCCCAACTTAGGAAAAGTGAAAGAACGATCATTATTTTGGGAAGATAAAATTATTATTCATGTGTTTTTTTATTTATTTTGGGGTAAATAAAAGATGGGTAGAAATTTGATAGCATTATGACACTCAAATAATAATGTGCACTCAAATAACACTTCCATGCAAAAATAATAATGTGCACTCAAATAACACTTCCATGCAAAAATGACTTGTTTTTCTCACAAGGATATTTTTATTTTCTTCAAAATAAGTCATTTTCATTTTGTCATTTTTAAATCATTTCGTAGTTCTTACTCCAAAACAAAAAGAGTTGTGTTAACGTCGCACAATCAAATACGTAAAGTAAGCAAAAATCAGAGTGAAACTCATAATAAACTATGCACTCAATTATAATTTTAATTGGCTAACATCAATCGTGTGTGAGCGCATAATTCACACTACCACTACTCAATCAAACAGAAAAAATGTAACACACTTGAAAGCGAAAACAGAATTTGGTTTTGGAGCTGTGGGGAAATGGATATCATTATCTCTTCCTTGCATAGTGACAATGGAGTTGAAACATTAAATAAAGGAAGTGGAAGAAATAGGACCCTATCTATCCTATTCCTATTCCTATTAATGGACTGACAGTCCATGCAATCAGTCGAGAAGTCTGTCTGACCAGTCAGTAAGTATTGCACCACTCGTATGTGTTTGGAAGACAAACTGACAGACTCTGACCTGCTCTGCTCAGAGACCATTAAGTTTTTTTTTAAAATTTATTTTTTTCTGAGTTCTAAGATTTTGTAAGTGTTGTGATTTTCACTCACTTGGGTAATTTAATTGAATATAATTTACAGGTACCTGTGGATCAGCCCTGCATTGCATTAAACATGGTGGCTGACATTACACAATCACCTGCTGCTTCTTCTACTAGCAAAGAAAAGAAAAGAAAAACACAGTAATTTGACAGACAGACAGAGACACTACTGTGTGTGTACAACAAGACTGAGCTTCACTACTAGATTAAGCAACAAGAAAGAAACAAAGGATCAGCAGAGGCAGAGTCAACAAGCAAAACTAATAACCATGTGGGGGGCACACACAAGCAAATGATACAAAGGGATAAAAAAAACAACTGCAAAGGACAGGGTTTTAGATATTTTTAGTTTTCAGAGGAGGGTGGGGCAGTTTTTATTTTTTTAATTTTCCATTTTTTAATTGGTATATGGTTGAACATTTACTCTGATTAGTTGTTTGATTCAAAACAAAAGCGTCTCCTTATTTCATTGAGTTATTAATTATGTTCAACCCTCATCAGAAAATAAGATTTATAGTTCATTATCATATAAATTTCTCAAGAATGAAGTTCTTGGGAATTGAAGTTCTTGGGAAACTTCGTGGTTTTTTTTTTCATTATCAGAAAAGGTTTTCACCTATTTAGTTCGCGGATTGAAATTCTTGAGAATGAACTTTCCATGTCCAATCCCATGAAGGATGTTCATTCCCATGTTTGGAAATGTTAGGAAATGGGAATCAAGAAATGTCATTTTATCACATTCCCATATTTGGTTTGTGCAGTATTAGGAATGCAAAATTATTCAGTTTTCCAATAATACCCTTAACTTTTTTAAAAAAAATTATAAATAAATAAATACAAAGAGTTTTTGGAAGGGTAAAACATGATATTTTAAAAATAGAACAAGGGTAAGTTAGTCATAAAAATTTACATTAAATGCTTTCCCAGGTGGGGGGAAAAAAATTCCCAAACTCAGCCAAGGGTATGAAATTCCCTTCTACATGGGAAGTCCATACTCATGAGTTCATAATTGCATTCCCGATAGTGCACTTACCAAACATGATAATGCAATTTCAAACCCAAAAGAATGTAGTTTCAAACCGTTCCCAACTCCTAAACCTTCAACCAAGTGGGCACAAATCCAATAGACTATTTGTAGTTTATTATCGTTAGTTTAGACTTTAGATTTTTTTTAAAAAACAGTGTCCTTTTTATTTGTTTTCTTTGTTTTTAGACTTTAAATCCACATCTTCAAATTGTGCAGTTGATGACAAGAGGGAGCAAATCATTGATATGGTTTGACAACATGGCCTCGCTGTGGACGTGTAATTTCTTAGGCCTGTGATACCAAAAAGTAGGGTAACATAACCTTTTTATAATCATTTGTTCAGTTCCACACCCCTCCCTTCTCTCTCCTTGCTTTTCCTATGTAATTATCACGCATAATTGATCACTCTCCCTTCTCTCTCCTTTCTAAAATTCTTGTTAATCATTAGGTAGACATCAATAGTTTTTTTAATAGGAATATTTGTATAAATGTCATCTGAAATTATATATCAGTTTTAATTTATCATCTTAAATAAAAATTGAAGAGAAATGTCACCTTAATTTTTCAAAATCCATGATTTGTCATCTGACTTTAGCATCATCTAATTTTTCATCCATAATTAAGGGTATTTTAATATTTTTATTTTTAAGGGTGGTTTTAAAATGAAAAAATCAATATACAAAATTGTATATATTTTAAAATAAACCATTAAAAATCTAGGGTCTTTCCTACCAAACATTAAATAAATAAATAAAATTGAAAATTGCATTTTTTGTGTAGAAATATTTAGTGATATACCTATTATTAGCAATAATATTACAAATAAATCCTAAACCATTGAATTTCTATAAACAAACAAAAAAAAAACCCAAAAAATGACAGCTAGACTTATTGAATTTAATATTGATTATTAAATTACTTTGATATCATATTGAGTGTTTTGAGTATTTTTATGAGATTTCGGAGTTTGGCTTGTTTTAAGAAATTTATGGCAGTTTTGTAATTTATAAGAAGTTAAAAGTTATGTTGTAAATGGACTTTGAGTGTTTTTCTAAAGTTCATTTCACATGAGGTATTTTTATAATTTGGGCCCCTATATTATGTATAATAGTGAATCTCCTGTTTTTTTTTCCCATCCCCCTTGTCGTCTCTCTCTATTCTCCCTTCCTCCCCAACCACACCTCCCCTCTCGTCTGTGTTTTTTCTCCCCCACGACCTGAGCACCCCATCCCCATCCCCACCCGCAACCCACCCCCACCCTCTCCCTCTATTTGACTCCCATGGATAAAACTATCTTAATGCCTACCAAGATAATAATATTTGTGAGTTTGTGTTTTTTATTTTTGCGAATTTTTCTCTTTGTTTCAATTCCTAAAGTTTCTAAACTTTTCTGAATTCAAAATAAATGGTTTATTAAATTAAGGATTTAGATTTTGGATTATTGATATGTTAGCAGGGAGAGCACTCTATGTGCTGTTTGTTTTTCGCTTAGGTACTTGGCAGGCAGTCATCAAATAGAATGAGAGGGTGGGGGCGGGGGCTGTGGGTGAGGTGAGGATGGGGTGGTCAGGTCGTGGGTGAGATAAAAACAGAGGGACCGGGGAAAGGGGGTGGGGAAGGAGAGGAAGAGAGGCTTTTTTTTTTCCTTCAAAATATAAAGACTAAAATACCCTTAATAATGGATGAAAAATTGGATGGTATTAATTCATGTCACAAATTATAGATTTTGAAAAATTCAGGTGATATGACAAATTTGAATACGCTCATTAGGTATAATCACTCATAGGCTCATTAGGTATAATCACTCATTGGTTCACGGAAATGAATTGATGGGAAATCAATCTCCATGGAGTTTCCCATGGGAAGGGAAATCAAATATTCCTTTCCCATAAACACTAGAAAAATAATTGGAAAATATTAGTTTATTTCATTTCCCATGTTTGATTAGTGCAAGAATTGTAAATATATTTTATTAGTTTTCCAATTATATCCCTAAATCAGAAAGCATATTAAAAAGTCTAATTCATGTTTGTCATGGTATTTTAATTGTTAATAGTGGTACATTGGTCATAAAAAAGTTGTAATTAATGCTTGTCTTGGTTTCCCTTGAGGAGGGAAATCATTTCCCAAGCTGGATGGAGAATTATATTTTCCCCTATTTTTCCATGTGCCATAAAATCATTTCCCAAACATGGGAAATCAAATAATTTCTCATTTCCAAGCCCCTTTTTCCATGAACCAGAGTCCAGACGCAACCTTTAATAAAATATGAATAATATATCTTTGCCTTTGCAAGGGTACGGAGAGAGAGAGAGAGAGAGAGAGAGAGAGAGAGAGAGAGAGAGAGATTTTCACAAACTGCATCGAAATTTATACCAACATCGATTCTACAGAAAATTCAAAGGCATGTGCTCAAAAGTAGGTAACTAGTTTGAAAGTAAGCCTATGATTCCAATTGTATTTTCTTTTCTCTTGATATATCTCCATTATTTCAATACTCAAGTGATCAAAAAAATACATTTAATCGTCCCTACAAGGGATGGCAATAGATTACACAAACTGAGACGCGAGGAAGATATACAACCTGGATCAACATTTACAGTGCATCATGAAGAAAAATTAAAATATACATAGCTCATTGAAAAAATTAAGTGCAAACTTGAGAGTGACAAGCAACAAGTGTGAGGTTCTATATGATTAAACCTACCACAGTGATCCAAAGTTACATGCTCATTCAATCTTTTCCAGCACTTCCAATCTGGTTTTTCTCTTCCAACCTTTCATAGAGGCAACAAGGTTGACCAACCCAACAATTTGATTTTTTGTGTATTCCTGCAAAGGAAAATATTCATAATGTAAGATAATATATGTGTCCAAAGCCAGAATGTCCACAGAAATGAAATTTCTTACCGGGTGAGCACGTGCCCAGTGCACATATTCCGTTTCTGGAAGATA